CGACGTATTCTTTCGAATTCCAGTTATTTAATCCTCTAAACATTCTATTTCAGATCAATATATGTCTTGAGATATTGACAGTATGGTAGTAAACGACTCTTTTGCAGAGCTACCTTTAACCAACTACATCGTTAATAATGTTCATGATGCCTTAAATGAAATGTAAGTCAAATGAAATGTAAGCCAAGCATTATGCGAGTTTATTGCTTAGTGTAGAATATTGAGCAATCAAATAAGTCAAAATGGCAAAACAATTAGAATTAACGGAATCACTGCTTTTGTGAAGTAAAGGTGAGAATACATAAATTTTAGTATCCTAGATCCCATTAAGAGGCAATGTCCACAAGAATAGAACAAATTCAAGAATTCGTGGCAAGGKTCAAAAAATMAAATTCGCTCTTCTTTTAAAGTTAGATAGGCCATTATTAGATATGAATCACTGGGTAGTTGGAAGCCCAAGAAAGAGACGCTCAAGAGGAGTGAAAATGGACAAACTCTGAACAGTAACTGAAAATTAAACCATCTATGACAATGTTTGAACTTTCTTCTTAATATATCACCCTTTTTCGTTCATTGGACTGGATTTCAAGCTTATTGGGAAAGGGACGAATTTTTGGCGAGGGAAAATATGAGGCCTGTGTTTACATATGCTAATTACTTGCCTCAAAAGAAAAAAAAAGATTTAAGTATGGCCAAGATTTCTGATTGAAATCATATTTATGCTGCAAGTTGAGGAAGAATAGATCTTTTCAAACTTTAAAGATTGATTTGGGGAAATTAATTCTGACTGCATAGAAACCTGTTGAATTTGGTTGAAATACATGCGAAAATCACGCTTCCCGAATCAATGCAGGAGTAAGGATWTTCGTAAAGATTGCCATGAMATTTACCCYGAAAACTAAGAAAYCATTGTTCGAGCCGTTGTTTGAAAGTTCAGTGTGGTTTGGTAAATTTAAGCTCCATTAGAAAGGTTTTGGGATTGTCGGTATGYGAGCAAAAAAACGCGATCTTTGTTGATTGCGTGACCGAGRTTCCACTTTACGTTTTGAAGTTTGATTACTGTAAAATTCACGCTAAAATTACGATAGAAACGTTCTTTAAATAGATTTATGATCTTATTTTAGCCAAATGAGATTTGGGTCGATGAAAAATCCGAAAGAAAAACCGTAGCTTTACTGCCATGTTTAATTCATTTGGTCAATGATTCCTTCGTTTAACTCGAGTAGGATATTTATATAGTTTCTCCATCTATCAAAATGTTTGTTATACTAGATTTACAACTAGAAATGTTCTTTAAGTCATTCCTTGAAGTAAAGCCAAATTAGAGCTGAATTTTGTGACAAAGGCACCCCCTGGGCTGGTCCTACTTGCCCTTTTATTTCGATTTCATTTGACCAGTTTTTTCACAGTTTCAAAGGTCAATGTATGGCTTTTTTTGCCAAGATAAAAATTGTAAGATGTCGAGTTCAAATAGCAATAAAATTTCTTGTATGTAGTATTTATTTAAATTAAGAATCTTGACAAAAAAATTCTCCGTTATCTTCCTTCGCTATTCTCGCTTTCGAAATTCGATATTACTCTGCAAATGCACTTCCTCTTCTCTCTACCAACTATAATTTTGCTAACGATTAACGAAAATTCGTATGAAAATCTCATGCAACAAGTTTGTTTTTAAACATCACGGTTTTATTGTGTACACAACCAAACTCAACAACATTTTCAATCAGTCGCTCAAATATCATTGACCTTGGGTCAAGTAATTAACCAACTATTGAAACCGCTTTTTTATCGACCCAAAACTTATTTGACAAAAATAAGATTATAAATCTATTTGAAGAACGCTTTTATCGTAATTTTTAGCGTGGATTTTGCAGTAATCAAACGTCTCAACGTAAAGTGTAACCTCGGTCACGCAATCAACAAAGATCGTGTTTTTTGCTCATATACCGACAATCCCAAAATCTTTCTAATGGAGCTTAAATTTACCAAACCACACTGAACTTTCAAATAACGGCACGAGCAATAATTTCTTAGGCCCCGTCCACACTATGCCGGATAAATTTGATACCGCAACTTTATTTATCCGGTTAGGCCTTCCGTCCACACTAGTCCGGGCGAATCCAGAACAATTCTTCACCGAAAACAGAACTTTTCGAATACGGACTCCAGAGTGGACCAATTTGAAAACGCCGGCTAGCCGTATTAGTGTGGACGGAAAACAATTCGCATCCAGAATTTTTCGAATAAAATGACGTCAAAATTGTCATGAGGACATGGCGGGAAGGCTAAAAATTCACCGCGGGCTCAATTTCAGCTTCGATGCGCATGCTCTGATGTACAATGAAGCGTTTTTGCAGTCTCTGATCGGACTAGTGTGGACGCGTAACATTTTCTACTTTTTCATGTGTGAACGGAAAACTTTTTTTTCAGTTTCAGTGTGAAAGTTGCGGATTCAAATTTATCCGGCATAGTGAGGACGGGGCCTTAGTTCACAGGGTAAATTTCATGGCAATCTTTACGAAAATCCTTACTCCTGCGTTGATTCGTGAAGCGTGATTTTCGCATGTATTTTCAAAATTCAACAGGTTTCTATGCAGTCAGAATTAATTTCGCCAAATCAATCTTTAAAGTTTGAAAGGATCTATTCTTCCTCAACTTGCAGCATAAATATGATTTCAATCAGAGATTTTACCCATAGTTAAATCTTTTTTTCTTTTGAGGCAAGTAWTTAGCATATGTGAACACAGGCCTCATATTTTCCCTCGCCAAAAATTCGTCCCTTTCCGATTAAGCTTGAAATTCATACCAATGAACGGAAAAAGGTGATATATTAAGAAGAAAGTTCAAAAATTGTCATAGATGGTTTATTTTGTACGCGTGCTCTGTTCGAAGTTTGTCCATTTTCACTCCTCTTGAGCGTCTCTTGCTTGGGCTTCGGTAGAACCTCTTCCGTGTGGCCGTTTTCTCGGAAATAAAATAATACTTTCGAAAATCAACTTTCCAGTGATTTATATCTAATAATGGCCTATCTAACTTCAAAAGAAGAGCGAATTTGATTTTTTGACCCTTACCACCATTTGTTCGATTCTTGAGGACATTGCCTCTTAATAGTTTCATTATTTTTAGTTTCATATTCAAGTATATTATTCTTTCTGAGAATAAGAAGACTCAAAATAATAACCGATTCAAAAGTCGAATTCTRATTGGATTACGGTGTTCCTTATTTGGAATAGTGCAATCAGAATTCGAGTTTTTAATCGGTTATTATTTCGAATCCYGAGTCTTCGTATTCTGAGAAAGAATRAATGTAAATATTCGAATAATGGAACCATTACAGTGCGCACACTCGAGAACGTCAAGGTTTCGTTGACATTCTTTCATAAATATCTAATCAAATCTAATTTTAGAAACAAAGGAATCAAACATTGTTAGGCGCCATCCAATCACAAAAAAACAGCGAAAGATCTTTAGACGTCTTATTTTTAGTTCACTCCGTGTGAACTAATGAACTGCTAGACTRTCGAATAAAGTGCTAACTTTCAATAATTTATCTATACAGAAATAAAACACCGTTCATTGAAGTTGCTGTTATAAAATAACAGATACACTTAATATTGTAATTTTTTTTTAAAACTTTAAGGGCAATAACAACATAAGAGACTTGCACGAAAAAAAACCCCGAAAAATTGTTGGAACCTCTGTAAGAA